CGCACTTTTTCAGGCGAGAGTACAAATGCGAGCTGATTCGGACTTATTCAACGTATAGTAAGAAATTAAGTTAATGGTCGGAACAAGAGCGAACACAAGTGCGAGTCAATTCGGTATTATCCACTAAACAGCAAGAAATTTCAAGTGCTAAAAAATTTGCACTTCAGAGGAACATTTCAATTACGCCGTGCAATAAGAAATTGCCTTCGTGGTTGGTTCAGTGGCGAGTTAACTCGCAAATACAAAAGGACTTCATTCTTTTGGGCCGAAAAGAGACGCGACTTATCGACTAAAGAGGAACAAATTGAGGGGGATGGTTGGTTGAAGAGCGAATAAATTCGCACTTGCAAATGAGCATTCCATTATGAAACTGGGGCTTATGGACTAAAGAGTCACAAATTTAGGGGGATGGTTGGTTGAAGAGCGAATAAATTCGCACTTGCAAACGAGCATTTCCACTATGAAACTGAGACTTATGGACTAAAGAGTAANGCATTTCCACTATGAAACTGAGACTTATGGACTAAAGAGTAAGAAATTTAGGGGGATGGTTGGTTGAAGAGCGAATAAATTCGCACTTGCAAACGGGCATTTTCATTACGAAACTGGGGTTACAAGTACGAGTTAATTCTGACCTATGGACTAAACGGTAACAAATGAAGGGGTTGGTTGGTTCAAGAGTGAATGAATTCGCACTTGTAAACGAGCATTTCCATTACGAAACTGCGGGTACAAGTACAAGTTGTTTTCGACTTGTTCTGCGTGTAGTACGAGCCACAGATCGTCGCAAGAGAGAAATAGGGAAAGATGAGTACTATTTTTTAAGATGGAAAAAGATTGCGAAGCGATGGGCAGACGGCGCATCGATGAAAATACATGGAGAGAGATGGTGCACCGATTGAGAGAGATGGCGCACCAACAGAGATGGATGGAGTCACAGTCTTCCCCCAAATACAACGTCCAGCCATTACAGCTGAATTCGGGTAATCTTTCAATCTAAAGACAACTATAATGAACGTGCGTTGTATATTCCGGGGAAGACGGTAGATGACGCAGGAAGGGAAAGAGATTGCGAACTGATTGGGACATGTGCCGCAGCGAGAGAGAGAGATTGCGCACCGATGGAGAAACATGGCGCAACAATGGAGATAGCAGGCACAGCAATGGTTAGCGATAGCACAACAATGGAGAAAGATGGCGCACTGAAGGAGATTGATGACGATGAACATAGATTAGAAAAGATATCGCAGCGATGGAGATAGATGACGAATGAGATAAATTAGGAAAGATAGCGCACCGAAGGAGATAGATGACGAAGGAGATAGATTAGGAAAGATACTGCAGTGATGGGGATAGATGACGAAAGGTCGGTGAAGATCGCGCATCGGTGGAGAGAGATGGAGAGAGGATGCGCAACAATGGTTAGTGATGCCGCAACGATGGAGAGAGAAGGCACAACGATGACCAAGATTTGTTATTGCACAACATCAGTTCCATCGAGTTAAACCTTCGTTAAGCATACCTGTCACTTGTTTCGTGCGATTCCACAGTGATGGGCGGCTGCACCGACGACGGTCTGAAACAACAATACAATGGCGATGGCGGGATCGCGCAGGAGTAATGGAGAGCCTCTGGGCAAGGATGGAGGTTGCCCGGTGGTCGAGAGAGATCGCGCAGTGATGGAGTGAGATGGAGAGTGATCACTCATCGATGGAGGGAGATCGTGCGACGATGGAGAGAGAAATCGGGCAGCGCTGCGGTGGCATAACACTGGCCAGGGCTTCGATAGCGATGGCTAGCGCTGCGGTGGAGAGCGATGGAACGCGTTACAATGCAGCGATAGCGATAGCAATGGCAACGATGGAACAACGATAGCGATAGCGCAGCAATGGCGCACCGGTGGAGAGCGATGGCGCAGCGATGGAAGAGCGATAGCGATGGCGCACCGGTGGAGAGCGATGGCGCAGCGATTGAACAACGATAGCGATGGCAGCGACAGCGATAGCAATGGCAGCGATAGCGATAGCGATGGCAGAGATAGCCATGGCGCACCGATTGAGAGATGGCGCAGCGATGGAACCAGCGTTGTGATGGCAGCGATAACGATGGCGCAGCGATGGAACCAGCGTTGCGATGGCAGTTATAGTACCAGCATTGCGATGGCGCAGCGATGGCCAGCGCTGCGATGAGAGCGATGGCGATTGTCAGCGGTGCGATGGTCAGGCGAGAGCGACGACTGCGATGGGGGATATAGCTTTGCGTCGCGATGGCGATGAGCTAAGCGCATCGATGGCGATGGTGCATGGCGAGCGTTGGCGATGGCGATGAGCTAAGCGCATCGATGGCGATGGTGCATGGCTAAGCGCATCGATATCCAACGCTGTTGACATTTGCAAAATGTCCGAATGACAGCGACACCGGAACTTATAGATTTCTGGTGTTTTTGACCTCGGCGCACAACGAATCGCCGCGTCTCGGCGGGAAATAAACTGTCACCTGGCCTCGGCGCACAACGAACCGCCTCGACGCACAACGAATCGCCGCACCTTATAGATTCTTGCGCCTGACCTCATGCGTCGGATCATGCCGATCGACGGTCCAGATTAGAACTGCGAAAATGACCTTGCCTGCCCCTTGTTTTCAGGAACTGTCACATCATTGCACGCCGGAGTTGACAGAGATTTTGGGGCCACTGGCATATCAGTGGCGCCGTTCATCTGTGCGGTTGAAAATTGTTGATCGACGGCTGACAATTTCCGGTACCCCTTACAGTTTATAGGCCCTGGCATACGCGAATCGATTCGGCCCCACCTTGATGGCGTTTTATGGGCCCAGGGGTGCGATATGCGAATCGTTTCGGCCCCACCTTGATCTCGACGCGAGGCCTGCTGTAGCAAAGTATAAAAGGCGTTGCAGCCCTCGAGTTATCCCTTTTGTTGGCGCTCCACAGATCAAGTCGAGCTATCGCTTCCGCGCGCGTTTTGATATTTGGTCTTCAGCCCCGACCACCTTCCGCCATAGCCCGCTCACTCTTCGCTCTTCGCTCCGTCCGCAGTTGCCATATTGTGTTCGGTTCGCTCTTCGCTCTTCGTTGTTCGCTCTTCGCTCTTCCCATCTCGATATCCCTCCACCATAGCTGGTTCGGTGGTCGCACATCCATATCCGTCCGACGTTGGTTGCTCGCTCAACGCATGATGAAGGTAAAATTATATAACTTGAGTTGTCCTATTCTGTGTCCGACGTCCGAACACATTCCCAGATGCCCTGTCTGTACCTGCAGGATATAACGCCGCAGCCGCGTTCTGTTGAACCCCGAATCAATTCCCGGTTTTGCTGTTTCGCCAGTGGACGTGTTCTGATGTCTTTTCTCCACCCTCTACCTCCGTCCGCCATAGCCGATCCGCGTTCCGCAGCTCGATTACCTTTCGCCATAGCCACGATAACGTTCGTATAAAGTTGCTCGATCCCCTCCGCAACTTGTAGTCGTCGCTGTGCATGGCGAACCCCGAATCAATACCTAGTTTCTACACTGAATCAGTTCCCGATTTTCGGTCACCTGTCCCTTATGAGGTCGCCGACCAGATATCTACATATATATATATATATAGATATAGATACTGAACACCGAATCAATTCCCGATTTTCTCTCACCTGTCCCTTGTGAGGTCGCCGACCTGATATATATATATATATATATATGTATATAAATATAGATACATATATATAGAGAGATATATTGCGAGTCAGTTCCCAGTTTGCGACGTACAGTGTTCGAGGAGTGACAACTGCGAGGTAATTCGCAGTTTTCCCAAGGTTAGACACATATTTTATTAAAGGTAGTTCTTTATTTCCACAAATGCGAGTTAGTTCGCACTTTTTTAGCAACACTGCTGGAGGAGTTGATAACCCATCCCTTGCGGCTTTTAGGTCTTCAGTTCCACAATTCCGAGTTAGTTCGTACTTTACCCTAGTGCTGCGGGTTGCCATTGTTTCCTTGTCTACAAAACTGCGAGTTGGTTCGCACTTGTCGACACTCTTCCCACTTGTCGATAAACCAGGTCTTCAGTTCCACAATTCCAAGTCAGTTCGTACTTTCCCCTTGTACTTCGGGTTGCAATTGTTGTCCTGTCAGCAGAACTGCGAGTTAGTTCGCACTTGTCGACACCCTTCGCACTTGTCGATAAACCACATCTTACTCGTTTCGTGCGTCTTTCAGGTCTTCAGTTCCACAATTCCGAGTTAGTTCGCACTTTCCCCTAGTGCTGCGGGTTGCCATTGTTGTCTTGTCTACAGA